ATCCCTTGTTTTTGATAGGGTTGGTCCTGTCTTCGGGGAATGAGGGCACTGGACCACACAGCACTTGAATTTTCTAATTCTATATTAGTGGTCAGAAAGACAGCTCTCCTCAAAGGCAGGTTGGCCAAATCAACTGAACCTTCATAAACGCCTTTCCTTAGCTTGCCTTGGTTGCATATTAAAGAAGATGCTGTTACAGTGGTACCTTGGTTCTTGAACGGCTTAGTTGCTTAACAAATCAGCTCGCGAATGCTGCAAACCCGGAAGTAAGCGTTCTGGTTTGCGAACGTTTTTTGGAAGCCAAACGTCCGACGTGGCTTCCACTTGAGTTCAGGAAGCTCCTGCAGCCAATCGGAAGCCACGCTTGGTTTTTGAATGGTTTTGGGAGTCGAATGGACTCCTAGAACAGATTAAGTTCAAGAACCAAGGTACCACTGTACATCCTTTATGCTGGTTGTGGCTATACATTCTCCCTGCTTCTTGTAATTGTGATAGCTAATCACACGCCTTGAATCTCAAAAGGTACTCCAGCATATGAGGGCCATCCAATCTGAGCTGGATCGTGAGAAGGAACGAAAACTACAGTTAGAGCGAGGTAGGCTTAGTAACCCTGGTTCTCTTTCCATGCCCCATAAATCTGCTCTGGGAGGCTGGAGGAATCCCCAGAACATGTTTGGGTGGCATGCATGGGGAGGAGGGGGAAGTCTTGTTGCGACGAGTGGACCACATTCCCTACACACAAACCCCACTGAATTCCACCCTCAGTATCTCCCCCCACCCAACTGCCGGGAGCCCATTTCACAAGACTCTTATTATGTGACCGTCGGGGAGGGGAAATGATTAACCTGTGATGACCCTTCACCTTCGAAATGATCACATGAATCAGTTCTCTGTCACTAAGTTTATGCTTAGTCTTGTATTTAAAAAAATAATGTAATTGAAATGGAGACTTGTACATATTACGAGCATTATCCTGGAATCATTTCTGCTTTTATGAGTTGTGGTTCTTCCAGCTTTCCATTTGCTGTACTTTCGTAGGCACATTATCATCCAGTCTATTTGAAGCCATGTCGTCATTGCCCAGAAATTGGATTAGATTATCTTCAAGGCCGTTCTGTCTCTCTACGCCTATCCTATCCTTTTAAACAGAATAAACAGTTTCAGAGGCAGATGTTGGTTTAAACCCGGGTCAGACCCAGTCGTATGCAAAGTGGAGGGTGGCAGGGAGAGGTCTGAGCTTTGGAGCAAAAGGGTGTCTGGATTTAGGAGAGGTGAACTCCTGTCCTTGCTCAATGCCTGCCACCCTGCAGCTTCTATATAGCCAAACCCCGATACCACAAGAGAGCAAACCTTGGGGAAAAGAATGGAAAACGGAGGGGGAGTGTAGCACTCCTCGGCCACATGTCACATGATCTTGTGATTGGATCCCCCGTTTCACGTGTGATTGGGGAGAACTATGCATTTCACCCCCCTTGCTTGTCCCTCCAACACTTGCATTTTGGGTGTTACCCTCCACAACACTAATGAACTCAACCAACATGTCCCAGGCGCCACTTCTGTCGTTCAGGTGGAAATTGGTTCATAATCCCAATCAGTAATCTGGTGCTACACAACCTTTTAGCACATTTAAACAACAGGCAGTACCTTTGGTCACAGTCCCTAAAGGATTCTTTGGTATCACTTCTCTTATCACACTGAACCGGGTGATGCATTTAATGTTTTCCTGTTGTGGTCAGTGAAGACAAACTGCTGGATGTACTTACTCCCTGTACAGTCATACCTTGGAAGCTGAACGGAATCCGTTCCGGAAGTCCGTTTGACTTCCAAGGTGCGGCTTCTGATTGGATGCAGGAACTTTCTGCAGCCAATCAGAAGCCCCGCTGGACGTTCAGCTTCCAAAAGAATGTTCGCAAACAGGAACACTCACTTCCGGGTTTGCGGCGTTTGGGAGTCAAAATGTTCGACTGCTAAGGCGTTCGTCAACCAAGGTACGACAGTATTAAGTTCAGCATGGCAGTAGGGCTTACAGGGTGCAAAACACAGGAGATTCTTAAAGCACCTTGCAGCTGCAGCTCTCCTCCTCTTGGGGGGGGGGTCAGGGCAGCAACCACTGCCACATTATTGTACCAGATGCAGAAGTAAACGATGGAAGTGTTTTCTAGAGCGTATGAACATTTTCTGTTTGTGCGGTATACTCAGAGCTGGAGAAGAAGCGTGAAGCAGAGCAGCGAGTGAGGGAAGCTCAAGAGAGGGAACTCCGGAAGCGGGAAAAGGCTGAAGAGAAAGAACGGCGAAGGCGGGAGTATGATGCTATGAGAGCGGTAAAGCAGGAAATGGCAAAAAAATCAAGGAAAGAAAAAGACGAGAATCCAAGTAAGTTGTTGTTGTTGTTGTTGTTGTTGTTGTTGTTATATTAAAAAGTATGTGTGAGAGGGAGAAATAACGGAAACCAAGAGTAGATAGCTTTGGTTTGTTTTTTTAAAAAAACCCTTACAAAACTTACCTTAATTAAACTTCATAAATTGGCAAAGGAGCAGGTCTGTAGCTTGGGGGTACTCCTGGTTCCAACTTTGCTACCAGAGGCTCAGTGGGCCTCGGGGACTAGGAATGTTTATTTTGAGCCCAGGCTAGTTTGCCAGCAAGGGTCCCTTTTGGACAGACATGATTTCCCCACTACACCCCATGCTCTGGTAACTTCCAGATTGGATCATTGCAATGGCCTTTACACGGGACTGCTCTTGAAGATGACTCACAAACTTCAAACAACTCCAAATGCAGCTGCTAGAGTTCCTTTTAGAGTTGACGTATATCCTGTTCTGAAAGCCTTGCTTTGGCTTCCTGTTCCTTTTGGAGCCCAATTCAAAGTGCTCGCATTGGTGTTTAAAGCCCTAAATGACCCAGGTTCCAAATATATGAAAGAATGCCTCCTTCCTTACAGAACTCCCGCTGGGTGTTAAAATAAATAGAAGGGGCCCTCTTGGTCATTCTGACACCCTCTAGTGGTTTTTTTTTGGCAGGGTGGCTGCTGGGAGAGGGCATTTTCTATAGCAGCCCTTATGCTTATCCCTCCCCACAGAGTTGCGCCTAGTGCCTTCATTGTATAGCTTTTGTTGTATGTTGAAGCCACACTTCCGTACCTTGTGGCCTTTAACACCTGGGATTTATTTTTAAAATGTACACCCTCCCCCCATTCTTATGATTGTAAATTGTTTTAACTGATTTTAAAGTGTTTTTTATTGTTGTAAAGCTGCCCTGGGACCTTATGGGGAAGAGTGGGGAAGAAATCGAATTATTGTTGTTGTTAGACCTTGCAAACTTTGCGTTGTCACCTGGTTAATAGTTAGGGCAAACCCAAACCATGTTTGGGCATCATTTAGATGCCAACAGTAGCCTCTGCTACTATTAAGGATGTTGCCTGCATTTACAGAGCTTGTGGAGTTGCCTGTTAAAGCATAATAAATAAATTCTCATTCTTTGCCCGTTCTTTGTTTCTGCAGAGGCCTCGCTTTCCCATCCATCCCACCCACCCCAGCACAAACGGTCCTGGTCCAGAGTCCTATTGAAGATGCTGCTGTTCCTGCTGCTTGGTGCCCTCAGTACTCTGGCTGTCTGTAAGGTTACAGAGCTGCAGCACCAGCCCGTATGCGTCCGTGTGAACATGCTCTATGAGGAGGCGCTGTCCCTTTTGCAAAGCCGCGAAATCCTTCGGAACGTACTGCAGCCGAACACCCAGCAGTCCTGAAGGACCCTTCCCCTTGCCAGTGCCACCTTCTGCTGGTTTTTGTTTTTTGTTTTTTTGCATCAGCGCAGCCAGGATTCCTATGGAATTAAGCTCTGGTGGAAATTGCCTTCAGCCCTTCAACGCTGGGTTTGGTGGCCAAAGTTCAAACAGCGCCAAACCACTTGCCCGGGTCGCTTTGCTTCGACTGCAGTTCCTGCGGTAAATCAGAATTTATTGCCATTCCCTTCCTCCATAGTGGATCCTTTCCTGGGCTGCAAAATACAGACTTGCTGGTCTGTATGCAAGCGAGGAGAGACAGTGCCCTTAGTAGCAGCCTTGCTATGAGAAGTGATACCTATTTTTGTCATCTTAAGAAGTTTTTGTATATGTTGTCTTTGAGTGTTACTGCTATAGCAAATACGTGCTCACTTTGGAAACAACTACTGTAGCCAGGAGGACTGAATGTATTCATTCAGGGGAGAGTGGAGTCATGGTTAAGGTTAGCTTTCGTATATGCATATGTAATTTTTCTAAGCAGCTTGATGTTGGAGTTGTAGGTGGAAACTGGTGGTTGTGGAATGTAAAGACAACCTACCTAAGGTATGCTGTTTTTCGAAAACGCATATCTACATCCACATCTGCCAATGCCTAATTCTTCTCTCCCCAGATAATTGTATACCAGCCAATGGAAGTTTTATCAAAGTATTGTGAAATCTGCACCCAAAGTTTAACACGTCATTTCATTATATACATTTTTTGCTTTTTACATTTTTGAATTAGTTAAAAACAAACAAACCGGGTGCAGTTCCTGTGTCCTTGTGCCTAAGTGCTTTTTCCTGTTGTATCTTAGCTTGACAGTCTGTACTCCTGAACGTACGACGTTATTCCTTAGTGCGAGTTACCTGAGAAAGTTCTCTACTCAACTGTACTTTCCCCATTGGCTTGTTTGAGCAGGTAGCGAATAAGCAACACATTTGCCTTATCCTCTGCCATTGTGCAAAGGATCTAGTGTGGCGCACAGATCCTGCCTGCTACCCTTCAGTGTCCTGCTGGGTCAGCTTAGAGCACGAGTACCTCTCTTGCTCAGGCAGCTTCCACTACTGTAACCAACAGCTTTACCAGCTGTTGAAATTACTTCCTAGATTATATCTGGCAAACCCAGCAGCCTCCCTAAGGTAAAACCCCACCAAATCCAGTGAAACCTCCCGAGTAAATACACCTAAGATCAGAATGGAATTAATTTGCGCAGAGTCTAAAAAACCAAGAGGAGAAGCAGAGCTCTGGCATGTGCTAGCAGTGTAATTGAATCAATAGCTATATAGCACTATCAATGGGCATGTGCTTTACAGAGCGCAAGTTCCTCCTGGGCTGAGAGCTTGCAAGTTAAAATTAGTCACAGGAGAAACAGCAGATGAAAGTGGAGGTGGGGTAAGCAGGGAGGAAGAAGGGTGAGATTCTGCTAACTTAAAATGAGAGACTTGGTTCAGGTGGGGCATATGGACAAGGGGATTGCGCAAAAAAGGCTTCATGGGAAAAGTGGGCCTTGAAGCGGGATTTGAAGTCACTGACGTCATCCCAGGGCAGCATGGAGAGAGGGATTAGAAGACTTTAGGTAGCTGAGAATGGTGGGGGTGCAACTTGAGATTCCTTTCCTGTAGCAAATTCCCGTAAACCATTTAATATGTAAAGTTACATAACCCACATGCACAGCTCTAGTCAAATAGACATCTGTTACATAGTTTGTGCTTTTAAGGAGACTTAGGTTCTTACAAAAAAATTTTTGAACAAATAGGACATAGCTTTGAGCTGTGAGTAAATCAATATTCTGTTTCTATTTTGGCACATGGGCACCTCTTATGTTCAAGTCAGAGTTGTTCAAGCCCAGCCTCTTTAGCAATGTTTAAAATTAATTTGACAAATTTCTGAATAACGTTGGTGTAGAACAAGCACTGCCAACCTCTTCTTTAGCATCCTTGTCTATCCTGAGTAGTAAGGGGGTAGATGCAGAGTGACAGGGGTTGTGCCTGGGTTTTCTTTCCAAGATTGATAAAAGTACTACAGCTCAATCATTCCTGGTTAGCCAAGAAATACTTGATTGCCTAATAAGGACTGCTGCAGGAATAAAGGGGGGAAAGTAGGAGTCCTTTCTGGGTCCCAAGCAGCGACGCATTTGATATTTTCAAAAAATGTTTAGTTTTAACATTTCTTCCCGCTATTAAAAAAAAAGATTTGAACAAAGTTTTTGCTTAAAATACATAGTTCAACATCACCCAGTAGCATCCAGGGAAAGGTCAGGGTTATGGGAAGTCATCTGCAGATAAATCCGTTTGGATAGCTCTGGGCCAACCCGCCTTGTAGTAGCCGTCACTCCATCGCCACGACGGACAGGTATCTCTGCAAGGAGGTTGTGCCGCTCCTGACGAGAAGGGCGGGTGTCATAGGCCTAAATGTAACACAGAAATAACGTTACACACCACAAAATGCGATATATGAATAAACTTAACTACTAAATTGCCGAATCAGTCTAAGAATGGTTTACTAAGGAAGCCAAGTATGTGCCATAGAGCAGCTGGCCAATATAGCCAGCCTGAAGTTACATTCATTTTTCCCCCCAGAGATGATTTATCCACCTACAACCCCATCGATGGGGCAGTTTTGCGACATTGGATAATTGCACTTCCCATAGTAAGCTTGTAGTCTAGATAAGAGAGCAGTCTGCCGATTGATCCTTTAGCTAGTTACTCCTAGCCAAAGCCTCCCACTGCCTGCTCTCCTCCCCACCACCACGGTTACAGCTTTCCTATGAGCCAGACTTTGTGCAGCCATGCAAATAACTCAAGTGGCAATCAGCCACTCCCCAAGCTCACTGAATAGAGCGTGAGCCGTTCTGTTACTGAGAGACTGAAAAAACTGGGAGAAGTTGTATACTCTTGGGGGACGGTAGAGATTTGATGGAGGACTCCTGAGTTACAGGCAGGGGGATGTCAGTCTCTCAGGGTGAGAGGCTGGGAGGAGCTACTGTCCTCTGTGGGTGGTAAGGGCCAAGAATTACTTTTAATTAAGAGAGGACTTTGTAATTTTGCTTACTCGATTTGTATCTTCTGTAGTTGTAATTTTACTGTATTATGGGAAAATCTAAATAAAAAGAACCTTGAAAACAAAACTGGAGAAGTAGGCAGATGGCAACATAGAGGACAACTCGGCAAGGGCTGCTGGAAAGGAAAACGGATGAGCTTCAAAAATGCAAAATGGGATATCTGGAGATAAATGGTCTTTAAAAAAAAAAGATGTAAGGAGTCACTGTCTCCACTGAGAACAGTAGTGGTAGCTTTATAGTAAGAGGAATGCAAAGTTTGGTTAATGTTCAGAATGCTTTCCTGATCACGAGAGCAGTTCAGTGGTAGACTGAAGTGCCCAGCAGTTGTGGAATCATCATTTTGGAATGAAAAGGGGCGGGAGGATTGAACAGACGTCTAACAGGGACTCTCTGCGTCATACTGGATATCCCGTTCTAAGGCAGGAGGGCAGATTCACTGAAGCACAGGGGCTGCATATAGACAAGGGAGTAAGTCCACTAAATAAGCATGTACAGAAATGTGCTCTTGAATTGCTTCTGCAAAGAGCTGGGTACCTTGCATGAACCTCTTGAGGTAGTGACGCGTTCCATCAAAACACATCTACGTATCCTTCAGTGGAATCTTTGCCTGTGCCATTTTCGAAGAACAATCTCTATCACAGATTGGGCAATATGTGGCTGATAAGTGAGGGAGGAAAACCAGAAGAGAGCCTAGCTCAGAAGCAGCTGCTTTTCTCAGGTTCAGTACTGGATTAGACCAGGGGTCCATCTAAGTTCAGCAACCTATTCTCACTCAGGCAGGACCCATGTGCAACTGTGAATTGTGAATCCCAACAACTGGTATTTGAAAGCACACTGTCTCCCCAACAGTGGAGGTAAAACCCACTGCACTTAAGAACGGGCCAGAACCATGCATGCATTAATAAGAGTCAAGTTACATGAGGCAGATGCATTGAGTCACATCTCTGGTTAGTTACTGAGGCCACAATCCTGTGCAGGCTGACCTGGAAGTAAGGTAAAGGTAAAGGTACCCCTGCCCGTACGGGCCAGTCTTGCCAGACTCTAGGGTTGTGCGCCCATCTCACTCTAGAGGCCGGGGGCCAGCGCTGTCCGGAGACACTTCCGGGTCACATGGCCAGCGTGACATCGCTGCTCTGGCGAGCCAGAGCCGCACACGGAAACGCCGTTTACCTTCCCGCTAGTAAGCGGTCCCTATTTATCTACTTGCACCCGGGGGTGCTTTCGAACTGCTAGGTTGGCAGGCGCTGGGACCGAGCAACGGGAGCGCACCCCGCCGCGGGGATTCGGACCGCCGACCTTTCGATCGGCAAGCCCTAGGCGCTGAGGCTTTAACCCACAGCGCCACCCGCGTCCCCTCGACCTGGAAGTAAATCCCATTATTAAACATAGTGGGACATAATTCAGGCTTGAAGTTGCAAGCAACTTCCAACATCAATTACATTTATCACTCACAGCACAAGACTGGGTAGCCTGTACTATACAATGCCTAAATTCTGGATACAGAATAAGCTATTTAAGTTAAAGTTACCAATGTATAATTGCTCCCAAGATCTGAGTTTCTGTGTTGAATACAGACTAGCTGTGTATTTTCACAGAATCTTGAGTGTGTGTGCATGCACAGAATGCTCACAACCTAGAATACAGTATTCCTTTGGCAGCAGAATAGCGTACCTGTTTCAGAAGTAGAGGAGATGGGTATTTGGCCACGATGGCATTGGCTGTCTCTAGGCTGACCCGGTTAAACTGCTGGATCTGTCTCTTCCAAACTTGCAGCAGTCCCTTTCCAAAGCGGTCCACCTTCATCCCCCCGATCCAGTCTCCCTCTAGGCAGAAGGAGAAGCTGGTTTTATCTCGTTCCCTTCTGCAAATGATGTGAACGAGAAACACAACAGAACAAAGTTATGGGCACTTGTGCTCCTCTGTAAGGAAATTATCTGTCCACAGCAGAAAGCAAGGAAAGGAAATTCTCATACAGATACCAAGAGTAGGTCTTTCCATGTGTCAAGCACACATTAGAAGGTGTTTGTTTTCACATTTCCATCTGAACATTGAGATGAGCTCTTTCAGAATCTCAGCACCTTGCGCAAACGCTGTCAGGTCTTTCCAAATACCAAGGATATTAAAAAGCATTGAAATCAAGAGCTTTAAAGTACACAAACTGAGTGTCTCAGTCACTATAAGGAACTGAGCCTGCTTCACATGTTACAGCAGGAGAAAAACTGTCAAGTTTCTACCATGGGTCTGACAACTCTCTTTCCTGGAACATATCCAGAGACTCTTTGCAGCTGCTAGGTATGCTCACTACGTGTTTCAGATACAAAGTGCACTTAAAATACTGCAGGAGAGACACTTGTCAGGCTGCAGTGGAGATTCTGGCCCTCACTTTCCTCTAATGTGAAGGCCAAAGATGGTTGTGTGTGAGGCAGGAATTTGGAGAATGGGACTGCCAGATGTAGAGGACTGGAGACCACTACTGGCAGCGGAATGGAACACATCCTTGCAGGAGAAACCCCAATCCTAGCAGGAATCCTCAAACGCTTCCTCAAGTAGCATCTGAAACTAAGTCAGCAGGTGCTAAATGGGAGATTGAGCCAGATGTGAATTCCTGTGTACTATATTGACCCTTAGGGTGCCAATTTGACCCAATCAGGCCAGGAAGTGGGCCCCATGGCAAAAATCAGTATTTTAGATTCCACCAGAAGGCACGGCACTCGAGAGAGCGCCCGGTGCCCACACAACCGAGCAGCACGCCAGAAAACGAAGCTGCTGAGATGTGCTCAGGGAAGTGTTTGCTCACTCACTTGAATGGAGCTTCTGCCACAGCCTTGGTGAACGTACTGGCAAAGTCGGCAAACTCCTTCCAGCTCTCGAGGAGTCGAACTTGGATACCTGTCTGAAGCTGCAGAGCCACCAAGCCCTGCAAAGGCAAAGAATGATGGTGAGCAAGGCAGCTTACGAGTCTCTGGCATCTTCTGCACCCTCCTGGCGATTAGTCTCCATCATCAGAGACATCACAGTATTATAGTAATTACTCATCAGCCAAGTGCCTGGGCAGGGTAGTCCCGAAGAATTTACCCTGGAGGAAGAAGCAAAACAAAAAAGCAACACGGGACACTGACTCCATGCTCACTCACTTCTTCCACGTCCAGTCTGGACAGGTTTGGGACGGTATTTGCCTTTCCTCTCCGATTCCTCTGTTTGCTCTGCTCCTGGGCCTCACTGCCACTCTGCAATGCTTGCTGCAGTTTCTTCCGTGACTTGAGCTTGTGAGAACTGAGAGGACAAAGAAGGAATGAACAGCCCGCGTTGGCGGTAGCAACTATTTGCATTGCTAAAAATCGGCATTCCCAGTGGTAAAATATATATGCCATGCAACCACAGACGGCACCACTGAGAAGGGTCCAGGAGGCACTGCATGTCTGCGTATACTGCTCTGCTCAGGTGATGCAAACCGGTGTTTGCTGCACCAGTTTGCAAGGCTTTTCCTGTGACTTAGAGACTGGGGGATGCTGAAGAGCCTATTGCCATGACTGTTCACAGTGGGGAGGCAGCAACATTCTAACCTGAAGTATTTTTCTAGTTCTACTACAGCCAGGGCCAGAGTCTTCCCGGGGGTTTTCTTCATGACGTTTGCCGCAAAGCTCTGCAGAGTCTCATTGGGCCCTTCCATGCTAACCTGGGGGCAAGACACATACAAGAAAACAGAGACTATATATTCCCGGACCAAAGTTAAAACAACAAATAAACCACCACCTCCAATTGGCATTGTAAGGCTCACATTCTATCTCCGGACAAACCCATATGCAGAGCTGAAGTTTCAGGTTCATGCACTCCCCAATTTTTCAGAATGAAACAATACCTGGGCCTCCTCCTATATACCAAGGGTATTGAACTTTTTCCAGCTCAAGGACTGTGATATCTTGTTGGGAACCATACCAGGGGTGGGCAGGGAAAGAGGCAGAAGTGTTTCAGTGTGTCTCTTACCTCTGTATAGTAATAATAATAATAATAATATAATATAATTATTATTATTATTATTATTATTATTATTATTATTATATTAGTGATACCTTGCCCATCTGGCTGGGTTGCCCCAGCCACCCAGGGGGCTACATTCCAGCCCTGCCGAAACCAGAGGTTCCTACACACAAACACGCACATCCCTCCATCCAGAAAGCAAGTGGTATTATCAGAGTTCAAGTACACATCACAACCAAGCAAAGGCATTTGATCACATGGAGCAGGACTGGTAAGCGGATGTAGTCAATAGATAGGGCTTGGCAGAGAGGCCTGGAGGACTCGCTAGGCCTCAAGCCTGAACATTGATAGATTGTTTTTAAATAGATGGTGCAAGCTGTTACTTGGGTAGCAGTTAAGACACTACATCGTGCGTGACCTCACCTGTTTATAGTTATGGATCATAGCAACAAATTCTTCTAGCAGAACTAGGACTAGAAGGTTGGGTTCTTCTGTCCAGTTGTCTTCTTCAGCCTGGAGGAACAAAAGAACATTTAAGGTGGAACAGTACAAAGGAGAGGGCTATTGCTACTAAAAAGAAACAAGGGGTGTATAAACTGCTATGTATGCTCCAGAACGAGGAAGGCCAAATTCTTGAAGGAGAGAAATAACCAACGAATGGGAGTGAAGAATATTTGTTGAACGGACCTAATTCTGGCTACAGAGTGTGGGCAAGTTTGTGGGCAACGAAGAGAGGTATGTTGGGAGACCAAAAATGGGGAGGTCCTGGAGATCTTTTTCTAGCTACCAAATCAGAAAGCTTGATGGTCACTGAAAGGTTTCTAGAGGAATTCGTTGCCGCACAGCTCATATAATGCAACAGACCTCCTTTGATTGCAAAATTATACGTTCCACAAGGCTCTAGCAAACAAACGGATAACTCTTGGCATATTTGCACAGGTAACGTGGAGGATATTGCCGGATATGTCGTTAAATGTACACGACAAGCACCAGAAAGGTGGGTGGGAAAGGATGTGCTATCAGGGAGATCACCACAGGGATAGCTCAGCAACAGTTCAACCGCCTCCCACTATGACTTCAGCGCTAGAGACAAGGGAAAAAAGGGGGGGGGGAGCCTTTGAGGAAATGTAATCCTACCTGACCTAGTCCAGTTTTCCTTCTCCAGGTGATACTGCAAGGAACAGCTTGATTCTCAATCACACAGCTGCACTCCATTGCCTGCAGAGCGGTAAGCACCAGCCCGCCACCTTCAATCTGTAACAGACCTAAGGAGAGGACAGAGATCAGCTGCAGGGCCAGTTCAATACATTTCTCTTGCTGAAGCTCCTCAAGTGACTCCGAGCAAACTGTGGGGCTTGCAACAGCTCTATTTCCCAACACACCCCTTGCATGAGCTGCCACGCTCTGCCAAATGGTAGGGCCGGCACCAGGATAGGGGTCCATTGGGAAGGCAGGCAGTTAACACCCAGCAGAGCTAAAAGTGAAGGGGCAGTACCTGGATCTAGGACTGCTTGGATGTGTTTCAGACACTCTTCTGGCCTCTGGGCCTTCCACCGGTTAGCAAGGGCCTTCCTCCTCTCTCGTTCCTGCTGCTGCAGCATCTTCTGGGTTTCCCGCTCATTTGTCCTCTGCTGGGCTTTGCCCAGTTCCTCCTGGCTGCACTTTGTTTTCCTCTGAAGAGGCAAAGGTTTCAGGCTTTCCTCTACCGCCTCACAGCTGCCATTTTGAACCAAGCGGTCAGAGACACAAACAGTCGGGCGAAGCACAGTCTGTTTCTTAGGATCCAATGAATCCAGTTCCTGGTCGCTATCTGACAGTTCCCATATACTGGGTACAGCCCTTCCGTGGGTTCCTTGGCATCTGGGTAGCTGTGACAGCCGCCCGCAATCTGTGACCGCTTTCTCGTCAATGGAGCAGAGTCCGTTTCCTCCAGCGGAGTCTTGCTTGCTCAGTTCCCGGATCCTAGTATACGAAGGACAAGCGGAGGAAGGCTCAGACGTCAAAAGCTTCCTCTTGAGCCTTTCAGCCAAGGGAATAACTTCCTCCTCCTCACTCTCACTGCTGAGCTGCACTATCGCTTTCAGACAAGTGGGAGCCCTGGCCGAATCCTGGCTGCCACGTGGTTTTTTCCAGGCAGGAGAGGCCACGGACGAATCTTCCGAGTCTGAGCTGCAGAGCACAACCACATTCTCTTCTAGAGGAGGAGTTTGGACAACACTTTTTATGCTTGGAGGCTGCTGCTTCAGGAAATCAAAGGTTGGCAGCTCCTCATCATCACTGTCCCCCAACTCTGGAGACATGGTGTTCAGCCTCACGTGATGAGCGGAGTGCCAGGGAAACGGAGACCGCCTGAGGGAAAGAAGCGCCAAGTTTTAGTCGAAACAACAGCCGCAACCTCTTAGGCACGAGAAGCAGACATTGGGCATCATCATTCCCCCCCAGCAGCCTTCGCCAACTTGGGGTAATCCAGACATCTATGGACTACAATTCCCATCATCTGCCTGAGGCTGATGGGCATTGTAGTCCAAAAGATCTGGGGGGTCCTAGGTTGGCAATGGCTGCCCCAGGAGCTTGATGAGGTTCCCCTTCCAGCAGGAAGAATCAAGAGCTGTAGACTGTGCAGGTGCTTGGGAGAGGAAAACATCCACAGACCCAAACATCTGGGGCTACCTGGCCCCAGCAGCTAGGTAGGACATGGAGGGTCTGAGTACTGACTGCCACTCCATATGGTTGCCGCAAAATGTGAAAGAGCAAATAGGATCAACAATAGTAATATCGAAATCCACAGGCCTGGACATTACATTCCCCCCGCCTCCTTTCATGATGTACGACTGAATTTAAAAAACAAAACAAAACCCTTTATGTTATTTATTTATTTCATGATTTATAAGCCCACTTTCAGGGCCAGCCTGCTCAAAGAGGTGTACAATAGCGTGTTTTAAACAATACAACAAAACCGCACCATAAATTACTAAAAACACCAACAAACTAAAACAGATAACGAAACCTGCAGTACTTTGTGAATCTATGACTTTTATTGCAATTGTGCTGCTTCGCTTATTTTTTTTAGTTGTTTTGTTAATGGTGCTTTATAGATTAATAATAATAATAATAATAATAATAATAATAATAATAATAATAATTTATGCATCGCTGATCCGGCTGGGTTTCCCCAGCCACTCTGGGCAGCTTACAACATATCTAAAAACATAATGAAACCATCAACCGTTTAAAAACCTCCCGATGCAGCGCTGCCTTCAGATGTCTCCTAAAAGTTGTGTCATTCTTTTATCTCCTTGGCATCTGAATGGTTTTGTTGATTATTTTGTTCATTATTCTATCTATGTTTGTCTGTGATGTCCTGCAATTGTTCTTTCTTGATTTGTTAAGCCGCTTTGCAATTCACGGGGAACGAAAAGCGGCATAGAAATATAAGCAAGCAAAGCAAGAAACCCCCGTGTGTCCTGGGGGGCGGAGGGGGGCCTTCAGAGGACCCACCTTGTCAGCCCACCTTGGGGTAGGTCTGAATTTCATCCCCGGAGACTCGTTTTTCAACAGTTGAGTCCCTGGAATGCTGAGCGAGAAGCTAGGAGGAAAGTGCTTCTGAGCACGTGCAGAGCGCCTTCCTCCCCCTCCACCCACCACCCCCAGCCTCTTTGGAAAGGGAGGAAGGGGCACGAAGGGCTTTCTCGGCGGTACCTCTCTCTCTCTCTCGGCTCAGAAACAGAAGCAGCCGCTCTCCTCCTCCTATTCCTAGCCCGTAGCAGTTAGGATGGAGCCCGGGAATCGGAGCCTCATTCAAACGCGGCGCTTCTCCCCGCCAGCCCCGGATCCGGAAGCCGCGCAAGGCGGAGCCGGACGGATTGCCAACCAGGAGGCGGCGGCGGCGGCGAAGGTCAAATGGCGGCGCTGCTGGGCAGGCTCTCGCCTTGGGCTCTGGGCTCCGGAGGGCAACGTGAGTGGCGGGAGGAGGGAGCCTGGGAAGGGGTCAAGTCCCGGGGAAACCGGGTGCTGGGGTGGGGAGAGATCGAAGCGCGTGCAAGAGACGGGCAGGCGGGAGGCGCCTGGTGCAAAACATGCCGCATCGCCGCAGTGGCTGCAAACGCAAAAGTGGCTGCAAACGCTCGTAGCCTGGGAAGGGGACTTTTATTTTATTGCATTGCATTGCAAGGCACTGCACAGGGAGTGTTTCCTGTTCAGAATCGGGTATTACTCTTCTCCCCCCCCAGCCGTTTTAATATCCTTCCTTCCTTCTCTCCCTCCCCCCCTTTGGTGACATGTTGCCTGTTGAGGGTTTGGGCATTTTGGTCTGTTCGCATCGTCGTGGGTGGGGGAGATTTTATCCTCTCTTCATTCCGCCCAGTGTCGGATTTACGTATACGATAAACAAGCTATAGCTTAGGACCCGACTCTCTTGGGGGGGGGCCAAAAAAATTTAAAGGGGGGAAAAAACTGGATGGACATTTCCAAAATATAAGAGCAAAAAACAAATAAAATAAAACCTACATACAGCAACAGTGTTTTGTGTTGTGTAGGCGCCTATGATACCTATTAGGTCCATAAATTACCATATAGCATATATTCAACACAAAAAACAGCAACAATTGGTTGTTGACAAAGGACAGCTGGGCATATAAAGGGCCCTATTACCTTTAGCAGCTTAGGGCCTCATCAAACCTAGATCTGGCCCTGGCTCCGGCCCTGAGCTAATGGAGTAATTCATTCATAAAAGAATGGGCAACCCCTTTTCAATAGGCAGAGTAGTATGGCTAAATTGAATCCCATGTATGTGTGTGTGTATATATATCTGTGGTTCCCAACCTTTTTTGACCATGCCCCACTTAAGCATCTCTAAAATCTTGATGCCCGCCCCCCGTGACATATAATTCTTATTATTCAAAGGGTGAACTCCTATTCACGTGGAGGAAGCATAAAAGGCCATTCACTGTTAATAACTCATTCTTGAATTGCCCCCCTTAAAAATAAAATTGCCCCCCTGTGGGGCATGTGCCCCATAATTGGTAACCACGGATCTGTATGTATGTATGCATGCATGGAATGGGTTTGCATTAAGAGATCTTCAGGACAGGCCTGTTTTATTTCCCATGCATTACACCCGGGAAAATAAAATAGGCCTGGCCTGACCGGGCAGAGTGCCTTCTCGGTAGTGGCACCTTCCTGTGGAACACCCTCCTTTCAGAAATCGAGATAAAGAACTACAGAACTTTTAGAAGACATCTGAAGACAGCCCTGTATCGGGAAGTTTTTAATTCTTGATGCTTTACAATGATTTTATATGTGCTCTAAGCTGCCTAGAGTGGCTTAGGAAACCCAGCCAAATGGACAGAATATAAAATAATAAAATTATTATCATCATTGAATTCATTGGCGCTTACAAATAAGTGTGCTTGGGATTCGCAGCCCTTAATCCTACGTTTTTCTAAGAAGTTAGATTTGTGCCAGTTAGGCAACTGAACAGGAACCTTCAGAAATGAAAAGGAAATGGTTGCTAATTGTACGCAAATAAATCAGATGAAGTACCCTGCAAAAGGAGTGTTAGTATTGCTGACTTTAAATGGCTGTGTGTTTATGGGCCATTCTTTTAGATAAGCCACTTTTCCATTGAAGAAAGAACCACTTGTATGCCAAATATTGGTAAACATTAAAGACTGGATCCAACAAAATTATCCAATGTGTGACATCTACTTCTCAGCTATCCTGGATTCTGTGCCTCTAAGGAGAGGGTGTTCCCAGTTAGCACAATGTACCCCTCTATTTGGGATACTCTTCCTTTTTAAAGTCCTTACCCAGACACTGATGAACGGTTCTGGTAGACTCAGAAGCTTGCTTGCTATTTTGTGACATTTTAGTTGACCATTTTAAAGAGACTTCAGATTTTTTAAAAAATAAAATAAAAGTGGCCGTGTAGCCCTTAGCTGTGAACGCTAATGTAACCTGCTTCTTCCTCTGTTTAGTTTATTTGGTGGGTTTCTCTCTGAAATAAACATTTAGCATGCAGGATTGGCAAACAGCAACCCAGCAGATGAAATCACCATCCTTGCTGTGAAATAATCTTGGTGGTATTTCATCTCTGCTCTACTAACACCACTGGTTCAAACATCCTTGTCTACAATATGTGACAGTCTTTAAAAAGTGATCCAATAACCATTTTTTATATGTATACAGGCATTTAATATATAGCCTGAAAAAAACAAAACAGCTTTTCTTCCTTTGGTAGTATAAAAGCCAGTGATTATTTGGCTTTGCATCTAAAAAAAAAGGTCACCCAGAGTGCTCATAATTGAGTTCCAGTTTGAACTGGGGACTGCGGGCTCACAGCTCATGGTCGTCACCGCAACACTGACCAGTTTTCCCCAACCCACCCTCTCTCAACTTTCAAAGAACGTAAAACACTTTAGTATTCAGTGGCTGGTGTGAGGTTTCTTTCTCAGTTTAAATAATTGTCAGTTTTCATTTCTCCCTCCCTCTCTCTCTCTCCACAGTTTTGCCTATTTCGCCCCTGAGTGCAATTGCAGTGAGGTTTGCATCTAAGAAGAGTGGAGGCAGCTCCAAAAATCTTGGGGGGAAAAGTCCTGGGAAAAGTTATGGAGCCAAAGTAACGGACGGTAAGTCCCTTGGCTCTTTTTGCAGCTGCCTTTCAGTTTATTTTTCTTGCTGCCAGCTGTCTGGCTTGCACAGGGATGCTTTCAAGAAGGCATATATTACGAATGTGTGTTGGCAAGCCTGGCCAGTAGGTGGCAGAATTGTACCGACCAACAACAGGATTCTTGCTGGCTTGGAAGCACACAGTACCGCTAATTGAAATTTGTGCACGGATATTAATTCTCTTTGGGATGCAAATTCAGGAGTTATGCAGCAAGGGAGAGCCTCAATAAGTGAAGTGGAATGCACCGTCCAGTTTACATTGCATGTGCACAAGGTGTGGAGAGCTCATTCGGTAGAGCACGGGACTCTCAGGATTGCGGTTTGAGCCCCATGTTAGGCAAAAGGCAGGGGGTTGGACTAGATGGCCCTCAGGGTTCCCTTCCAACTCTGCAATTCCATGATTCTAAAACCTGTGGCCCTCCAGGTGTTGCTGAATTACAGCTCTTGTCATCTCTGGCCATTTGGCCATGTTTGCTGAAGCTAATGGGAGTTGCAGTTCGGCAGCACCTAGCAGGGGACGTGCATGGATAGTGCTGTGTCGCCATTACTCCCAGGTATTGACATCCTTAGGATAAGCACAGGGTTTGCAGAAGTATTAAAAGTCGTTTGGAGAGAATGCTAAAGGAAGGCTCTGTGTGGAGTGAGAGAGAGACCGAGACAGGTTTTCTAATTTATGTGATCTTGCATCATCTGAAATGGGCATTCCTTCGTAAGAAATGAGACTAGTTTTTGAAATGAGCAATTCCTATTCAGCTTGCCTGCTTTCATCACGGAAGCCGATTTCTTCACTTCATTGCTTCCTCTTAACACCTTTTGCAGGAAAGTTTGTCCACGCCGGCAACACATTGGCGACACAGCGGGTGATTCGCTGGCACCCAGGGGCTCACGTAAGTTATTCTTTTTGCTATTCCCAAGAGTGTTTATAATTGAGACTTTGCTTGTTCTGCTCCACCTTCAGCAAACTTCCCGCTTCCTTTTTCATTCTTCATTATCCTGAAATGAGCCAAGTTTCTTTATACTAACCTTCTCTTGAAGGCTTCCAGGGGAGTTGCTTATTCTAACAAGATGATATTGGAGCCTTCTTAGTTGAAACAGCTCTCGCTTCCAAAAGTAAAGCTTTTGCGACCCTCTTTTAAGTGACATTTGGATTCAATGAACAATATAGTTCAGCTTCGCGCACCTGAATGTCTCGGGTACATTGGAAAAACATTGTTCAGTCATGGATCTAAAAATAAATGGGCAAATTACACTGTAACGGGCGAGCACTTCACAGCTCACAGTGTGGTAAGACAGGGGAGTTCTGCTTGTTGCACAGCACAACTTGCAATATTTCAAACATTTTTCTTTTTAAAAGGTCTGTTTGCAGAGCTCCCGAACCATGCCAGGAAATACCTGGGCAGAATAGTGTAACACATAATCCCAAATCCCAATGAAGCCAAACCCATTTGAGATAAGTCTCAGGTGACCTGAACTTTAGGCATGTTGAAATCACTTATGAGCAGGTGAGGTTTGGCCAAGCCCCGTATCTAGTGCTTTACAGCAGGTGCATAGGCAGATGTCAGAGATCGAGAACCTGTGGCCCATCAACTCCCGTTATCCCTGATAATTGGCAATGCAGGGTGATGGGTGTCCCAACAACATCTGGAGGGATGCAGGTTCCCCCATCCTCGACTACCGTATCTGTTCCCTTTTCTACTGAGCACCCTGACATCCACCAATGTCAGGTGCAAAATCATGGCTGAAAGTTGAGGGAGTCAGGTGCAAAATGGTGGTTTTGCAGCAGAGCACAAACACTGCAATGACCTGCATATAAAAATACAAATCTGAATCAGAGAACTTCTGGCCAAATTTAATAGCCCAGCTATTAAATAGCTTTAATCGGTTTTTGATGCGGTCTTTTAAATTGTTGTGACCTGCCCTGGGATCTTAGGGCGAAGGGCAGGCAATAAATCAAATAATTAGAAGCATTTCTAACAGGAAGTGGATGAAGCCTTTTGGTTTTGCTGTTGTTCAGCACTTGAGAGCCATAAATGCGTACTGCAGATCATCCAGCGATCTACTTTTTGCCCATCTGTATTTTCATAGGAGCAAACCAAGTGAGGTGAAAGATCCAATGGGAAAAGTGAATGGGAGTAGCCAACCAGAAGTTTAATAAGTCTTATATGGTCATGAAGCATTATTGTCGTACGCCATGGCTTCCGTCTTCATGGCAGCTCTGTGATCAGACACCCAGTGGCTATGCGAACAGCCTTTCTCCCATGAGCGGAGCCATGAGTTTAGTTACCTATGTACCAAAACACACCAAGGTGCTACCATGTACCACTGGGCATCACTGCTCTGCTCCAGAGTCTTAACTTTTCTCCTCTTTTAATTTTCCTCCTGTTCACCTGCTGATAGGTGGGAATCGGCCGCAACAAGTCGCTCTACGCGCTCGAAGACGGGATTGTGCGATACACGAAGGAAGTCTACGTGCCGCGTCCCAGCAGCAAGGAAAGCACAGAGGTGATCTGCCAGTTACCCAAAGGGGCTGTGCTGTACAAAACTTTCATCAGCGTCGTTCCCACTAAAGAGGTGGGGAGTTTCAAGTTGGTCGAGATGCTCTGAGACTTTTGAGGTCTCCTGGACGACAGCAAGGAACTGGCCAGCTTTATCCGAGCCCGGATATAAACAGGTCTGAAAACACTGCTGTAGTTCTGAATGGACTTCTGTTCCGTCACCTACGGTTGGCTGCTCAATACAGTCTAGGCACCAGGAATGTATTCTCAACAAAGGGGATGTTGTTGAAATTTCTTTTCCAAAATAAAAAGGCAGTTCTATCCTCTCTTATCATCTTACCAGGAGAGGTAATTCAAGCTAATGCTTTCATGATTAGCTCTAACGTAATGGGAGGATTTTGATGGGCTGGATTGGAGTCAGGTTCTGAACCCGAAAGTGTCACTCTGGCAGTTCTCAGAAGATTTCACACAGCAGCCTGAACGTCTATAAATGCACATGCAATTATTTCTCCTAATATTTCAGCACAGGAGTGGTTTGATGGAGACCATAGGCAATGAGCTCTCTGCTGCAACCTCCCCCACTGCCCCCCACCCCCAACCTGATGGCTGTTCTCCTCCACCCGCATAGCAAACTTATTGGGAGGATGGATGCAAATGGGCAGCAGTGGAACATGTGCAGACTGCAGCATCTCCCCAAAATACTCCTGGTCCATGAGGCCCAGAAGAACAGAGGGTTATGCTGCAGCTGATCTGCTTGGCTTACACAAAGCAATCAGACATTGGATGTTTTTGTAGTGTTGCTGATTCAGAGTCGATTTCTGTTTCCGGGGTTCATTACTTTGAAATGCTTCTGCAGTGGTGCTGGCTGGCTTCGACACATATCAAGCCCTGCATCTATAGCCTTGTCCTTCCAGCATTGGCTACCATAAATATAGCGGGAGTGGGTGGCGCTGGGGTCTAAACCACTGAGCCTCTTGGGCTTGCTGATCAGGAGGTCAGAGGTTCGAATCCACATGACGGTGGTGAGCTCTGTCCCGGCTCCTGCCAACCTAGCAGTTCGAAAGCACGCCAGTGCAAGTAGATAAATAGGTACTGCTGCAGCAGGAAGGTAAACGATGTTTCCATGCACTCTGGTTTCCATCATGGTGTCCCGTTGCGCCAGAAGTCATGCTGGCCACACGACCCGGAAAGCTGTCTGTGGACAAATGCCAGCTCCCTCGGCCTGAAAGCGAGATAAGCGCCGCACCCCATAGTCAGCTTTGAGTGGACTTAACCATCCAGGGGTCCTTTACCTTTACTATAAATATGCAGGACCAGTGGCCTTGCTGTAGTTTGGTTTTTTAAAAAACTCTGGCCTACTGAGCTGGGAAGCAGATGTTAGCACAGTCAAGAGGGCAGACTTGACGCAATGCTTTAGGGAGACGCCTGGGCCATTCTGCTTCTAGCCAGGAGTGCCGCAGGCTGCCCTTTCATGCTCTAGCCTGCCCTGTGTGTCTGGTTGTGTCCCTCAGTTTGCTTTTGCCTCCTGCGCATTTCTTTTTTTGGGATTTAATCCATTCTTTTTTCAAAAATCTGGGATGTAGCAGCTCCCTCCATTTTGATTTTCAGGTGGGAGGGGAATGCTACCATCTGAAACCATGTAGCCATATACACAGGAAACACCAGCATTTGGAAAAAACAAAAACCTAGTAAGGAAAGGGAAAATAGATGATGCAATGCATGCATGAACGCAGTAGATGTGAGGTTGAATCCACCAAAATCGCTGCTGGGATGTCTTTGGCAACACAACAGAACTTCCCCAGCCTCTGTGCACCTTCTGCACTGCCGATATCTGCAGTAGAGGGGGGGGGGTGGATGCCCAAGGAGATTTGGGCTGTGTGGAAAGGAAGGGAAGTTCCCTTGTGCCTACATCTGTTTTCCAATGGTAATAATGCAGAATTGATCTGCAGTGAGCTTTTATTTCTGGAATTTAAACTAGTTTGTCAAGTAGCACTTTCAGGGGCAAAAATGTGCAACGTAGCTAGCTAGTGTGGGGAGATCGTAGGGGAGGAAAAAGAACTCAGTCTCCATGGATTCTAGAATAAAATAATGTGTATTCAGCCTTAGTGTTGTGTGTCTGCACTCGCCATAATTATAGGTTGGAACCTGTATGAAACAAAGGAGTCACTGCTGACCTTCTCAATTCCACACAAAGGAATTTGGCTAACCCCCCCCCCCAAGCATTTGAATACATTCGCCAAGTTGGAATCGGAAAGGAGGCCCCCAAAACATATTTTTTTCCTGATCTGATTGTTTCAGTTTTAACAATGGCATTAGGAACATTTTAAAAGCGTCTTTGTCCAATACAAAAAACAACAACCACCCAAATAACAAAAATCAAAGAGTCGAACTGACAGAGCAATCAAGTAGAGTAAACAATGGACAGGAGTGATAGCTATCAGTTATCACCACCTTCCTCCCCTCCTGGGGGAGATCCCTCTTGTCTCTGCATGTAACCCTTTCTTGGTTATATGGCTTGGCCCCTAAAACCTTGGGCTGCTTCAGGCTCCCAAGAAGGGAGGGAATTCTCTGCAGAAGCTCCAGATCCTGCCTTCTGCTGTCCTATTTGGACTTGCAAAACTGCCCTGCAGCATTTGAAAGAAAAGAGAGAGAGAAATCGTCATTGGAATTTGTCCGAGAATCAGTACAAACAGCTGGAGGCAAAATACATTCATTCCGTCACTTGAAGCTGCAATCCCTGATAAGCGACACTCCTTAAGACAACCAGAGAGACAAAAGAAACTTTCTCCTGTTCAGGCTTAACAACTTTGCAAGTTTGGCAGCTCCCACTGTTTTCTTTTTAATGTAATGGTTGCTGGTGTTTCCCCTCCAAGGATGCCCTTTGAGTAGGAAGTGTTGCGCCTGCCTCTTGAAAAATGACAAGGGGAGCCTCTCGCTGGCTTGGTCCAAAGTTTGACCCTGCAGGCTGAAATCTCCATAGGGTTTTCTACGTGGCTTTTCAATTCCTAGGGCAGGAAGGCAGCCCTGAGGGTAACTGATTCCGGCCCTCTGCCCTGAGAGACAGGAGTTCCTAGATCTAGTCTCTTCAAAACTCCTCCGGCCTTGGATACTTCAAAAGAGAGAGACCACAGCTTCCCCCAGGTGGTGTACGCAGCACTGTCCAGCCGTCCTCAGGCTCAGTTCCAGAAAGAGCTGGCGATCTCCTAGCATTCGCTCTCAATACTGTAATGCTAGTAAGAAAAGGAAAGGGGAACACAAAAAAAAACTTGGCTTTGTGTCGGCTCTGGAGAGTTCCACCCAGTTCCTTTTGCACCTGGAAAGGTTTGGCAGGCTGCTGCTGTGCAGGGGAAACCCACACCCCAAACTCTGGCATTGTCCCAGACACAGGGGTGGGCTGGGGGGACGGACCCAACCTGCAGCCTACACCGAAGTGTTCCTCTGAGCATGATAAGTCGGCGAAGCTTGCAGCATGTCCGGCAAGCTCTGTCCAGCTGACAACTCCGAACCTGCTCCAGTTCCTGGTAAAGTTGCAGGGTACCTCAGGGCTTGCTCGTAGGGTGGCGGTAACTGTAAAAAATATGAAGCAGCTTGTTATACCACCTCCTGAGAGAACCACAAACGGCTCTGCCCACTTTGGCCTATGCAAATGTTTTTTTACGGAATGTGTTTGCCAAGGCTCAGTTATTGTGCCAGCTTCACCCACCAGCCTCCACCACACCTACTTTGCCCAATGTCCACACACCAGTGAGCTTGGGTTCCACGAGCCTCACCCCTTATGCAACTGCATCGCACAATTCATGGCCCACAGGTGTGCTCCTGAGGCAGAAGCTGAGCTGATTTGCTTCCATGGTGTCTTCCAAAGCAATGCTGACAAAGAGCTGCACTGTTTGTTCATACTACAGTGGTACCTCAGGTTAAGAACATAATTCGTTCCGGAGGTCCGTTCTTAACCTGAAACTGTTCTTAACCTGAAGCACCACTTTAGCTAATGGGGCCTCCTGCTGCTGCCGTGCCACCGGAGCCCGATTTCTGTTCTTATTCTGAAGCAAAGTTCTTACCCTGAGGCAGTATTTCCGGGTTAGCGGAGTGTGTAACCTGAAGCGTATGTAACCTGAAGCATATGTTGTGGAACTCTGGTTACGAACTTAATTCGTTCCGGAGGTCCGTTCTTAACCTGAAACTGTTCTTAACCTGAGACACCACTTTAGCTAATGGGGCCTCCTGCTGCCGTCGCCGCGCGATTTCTGTTCTCATCCTGAAGCAAAGTTCTTAACTATTTCTGGGTTAGCGGAGTCTGTAACCTGAAGCGTCTGTAACCCGAGGTACCACTGTATTAGATTCTATGTCCTGCCTCTCCTCCAAGGAGTTCAGACGCATGCCGCCATTTTATCCTCCTAACCAACCGCGTGAGGTAGATTTGGCCGAGAGACAACAACTGGTCCCAGCTCCCCCAGGGAGCTTAATGGCCGAGTGGAGACTTGAATTAGGGTCTCCCAAATCCCAGGCCCTGTTAAAAGCAAGGCTGTGGTGGTATCGGCTCTGGTTAACGGGAATGGGTTAGAACCTCAGAAATAATGAGCTGACATACAGCTGTCTCCCGTTAAGGTTTCAAGGCCGGTGTCACAAGTTAATTAGACCCATGGTCTAAGTTCCCATAAAACCTGGGTTGCTGGGAGTTCTCGGCAGCCAGCCAAGCAGGCTTTGGGGCTTTTGAAAGCATCTTGTTCCCTTGCTCAGCCTATTGAGATTTAGGTGTGTTAATTTAGGTGTGTTTATGTTAATTACCTGGATAAGTTAGTTTTGCTGTTTTCTTACCTTCTGAGCTATCTGTGTAATTATTTGGAGTTTCCCCCTCTCTTGTGGAGTTTTGTTTTAGGAAAAGTTTGCGTATGATTTTATGAAATCTGGTCTGATCTGAGCTGAACCCTTTCATTTCGACCACACTTTTCGGAGCACGGGTCATCATCCACCACAAACAGCTATAGCAGCCTTCATATTGGATGGAATCCCCCCCCCTAAATTGATTTTTGAATTCAGAATTTATTGTTATTTATGTTTTATACTGTATTTAATGCTGTTTTTTGTTGCATCAATTAAGTGTTTTAAATTTGTTGTTAGCTGCCCTGAGCCCAGTTTTCTGAACCGGGAAGGGCGGGGTAGAAATAATTTATTATTATTATTATTATTATTATTATTATTATTATTATTATATCCGATGCTCCATCAACCCAGCAGTGCTGCCACCAAAACACTTGTGCATTGTTAGAAACAAGCATTTCGCATCCTTTTCAGTCCCTCTGGCACACTGCCGAAAGCTACTCTTCTTTTGGTTAACCCCCCACTCTCCAAACATCCTA